AAAAAAAAAAAAAAAAAAATGGCCCTATTTGGGAATTGCTAGAAACTAGTTTATAGATATTGATTCTAATGAATCTGTCTCAATTAGCTGCCCCAAATGGCAGTTTCTCTGAACCCAAACCACTATGTATGACAAGGGACCTTTCCTGAGGGTGGGCGGTGAGCCAACTGTAGGGCCAAGGACCTTAACAGCAAGAATGCTGGCATTGACTCTCTTTTACAACTGCACTCAACAGAAATACCAGAGGCATGATCCAATCGACTTAACTGAATTTGATTCCAATGCACACATATTTCAGATGAAGTAGATAAATAATGAAGAGTTCTGTGGAGAAACCAGTTCCCCTCCCCCTACTGATTTCCGTAATACCAATACCCATACATGGACACAAAAGAGAGAGAGAGAGAGAGAGAGAGAGAGAGAGAACTCCTTAAAATAGACCTGTCTTTTGAGAGACTCAGACATGAGACGAACACTGCAATTTCAAGTTACTTGCTTAGCTATTCTCAGAATTATACAATCTTTTAAATTTAAAGTAAATTTGGATACAATTACATCTTTGTTAAAACTTCAAAATTTCCCACAACATTCCGTTTTACGTAATATCTTAACTTTTAAAGGCAAAAACAGATGACTGCATACCTTTCTTTTCACGCCATATTTGTATTTCTAGAAATTAAAATGGGGATTCTGACACAATATGTATCTATTTCTTGTATATCAATAGTTGCATACTGTTTAACTAATACTTTAACAAAGTTGCTACATAAAATCAAGATGTGACCATCTTCCCCTCTCGAAGTAGCAACAGCGCAGGAAAAACCACAGCCACACTCTTGATATTTAACTTCAGAAATAGGGAGAGGCAAAGACACCTGGAAACCAGGCACACTCTTAAGAAGATGGGGCTGCAGCCAAGTAAATTTCTTATTGGTTACAGACTGCAACCTAACCCCATCCACTTATGTTCAAACATACATGTTGGTGAGGGGTGCTAGGAGAGACACCCCCAGCCCACCAAGTCAAGGGCTAGGTGGGCGAAGGACTCACAATTCCATGAAAGGCCAATAGACTACTGTTTGCACAGCACCTCCTGGGTAAGGTGGCAGCTTTGAGTGAGTTCAAAATAAACCCAGGCAGGGGCGCCTGGGTGGCTCAGCCGGTTGAGCGTCTGACTTCAGGTCATGATCTCACGCTCCATGAGTTCGAGCCCCACGTCGGGCTCTGTGCTGACAGCTCAGAGCCTGGAGCCCACTTCAGATTCTGTGTCTCCCCTCTCTTTGCCCCTCCCCTGCTCATGCTGTCTCTGTCTCAAAAATAAAAATTAAAAAACAAAACACGGGGCGCCTGGGTGGCTCAGTCGGTTAAGCGTCCGACTTCGGCTCAGGTCACGATCTCGCGGTCCGCGAGTTCGAGCCCCGCGTCGGGCTCTGGGCTGATGGCTCAGAGCCTGGAGCCTGCTTCCGATTCTGTGTTTCCCTCTCTCTCTGCCCCTCCCCCGTTCATGCTGTGTCTCTCTCTGTCTCAAAAATAAATAAACGTTAAAAAAAAATTAAAAAAAAATAAATAAAAATAAAAAACAAAACACAAAATAAATCCAGGCAAACTCACCACCACCATTCTCCAATCAGCTCCCTAAATGAGCCCACTGGCAGGTGGCTAGGGGTGTGTGTGAGTGTGCTTTGAAGCAAAAGTATTCCAATTATACATTTAGGCTTCAAACAGGTAAAAATGATTGTGCATTTTTTGTTAAATGGCATGTAAAGTGCCTACTGGGTACTCAGATATATTAGTTCTTTTTTCTTTACTTGCAGTACTATAGACGCAGTATCTATCAAAAGGTCATTCGAAGGAGGATTTAGAAAGCTAGCTTTTGCATTAATCATCATGGTAAAGTGTATTCAATTACCTTTGTGAAAATATAAAGCACAGATGACAAGTGAGCCGCAGTACACTCAGTTTTAGTTAATACCTCATATAATGTTAACATTACGATGGCCTTTCATATTCGATCTGTGCTCCCAGACTGACACGAATATACTTGAACGAGAAGCTGTGCTCTTTCTTATGGTGCCCCAAGAAACAGACGGCACGAAGATAAGGCTCAGTGCTGAGGGCTGAGGATGCAATGCAGCACCTGGAGGTTCTTTGGGGCTGGGGTGGGGGATGGGGAGAACTCACACAACTAGGTGGACAGATGCCCCTAGGAATTGCTTTTCTCCAACATCAGCTGGGACCTCTACGATGTTCCAGATGTTTTTTTCTCACCAACTAGTTTCTTTCCCTATAGCTTCTCACCCAGCCGTTCCAAAACGGCACCAGCCTCTTTATCCAACCAACTGACCCTGCTTCCCACCTCAGCAGGCTATTTACTAAGACTTGAGATTCCTCAACTCTTGCCAAATCAAACAGTCCCTTTCCACACTACCCCACAAGGTCTCTTGGCTGCTGAACGCGCCTCCTCCCTTGAAGCTCCCTCTCCCTTGGTCGCTGCCCCTCCCCCATTCTTGGTCTGCTTCTCATTCTTCACATTCCCTACATCATGACTCTACTTAGAGAAGACTCACACCGTCTCTAGTCGGACCACCTTCCTGAACTCCAGTCTGAGGGACATCTCTACCTAGATGCTGCAAACATCTAAGTTCAACGTGCTCAAATTTACTGTCTTCCTTCAAACCCTCTTCCTTGTCCTACTG